TTTTTTTAGCCTTATCAAATATTAAATAAGATTATTTAGAAGAAATCATCTTTTACGTGAAGTAATTTTATAAAGTATGCATCTAATATATTGGTGATTTTTTAAATAAAGATGACATAAGGTATTATTTCATCTAAGGTTTTGCTATATATCAGCTTTCAATTATGCTCTAAAATTTAAGTTTTTGTTATTTCTTTATTTTATGATAATTGAGCATATTAGATTAGGATTTTTATAAGTAGAATTTAATTTTATAGAATTTTTAGGATTGCAAACTTTGATGGTATAAATCATAGTCTAATTCCTTGAGTTAGGTTAATTAGGACCAAAGTGATAAGAGTTAGAAAATTGGAATAGCAACTTAGTTAGTTTTAATAATTTAGAGGTTGTTAGTCACTATTATGAGGGTTGACTAAAAGCCTATGAGTTCACCTACAATCATTTTATATGATTTAGAGTAAGTTAGAATTATAATTTTCTAAAAAATCTAGTGAAGTTTAACAATGATGGTTTTGAAATTTCCTCCGAATTCAACAAATTCAAGGAGTATAGTAGCTCTTCTAATTAATCAAAGCCTTTTTAATGCAATGGTGGCATTGGATTCATCCCGCCAAGTAAAGAAAACGAGATCAGCACCTTCTCCTTCAAAATACAAGTAAAGCAATGAAATTCTCATTTTGAAGAATTTTACAAGAATTATTAAGATCCTTGTAATTAAAAACTTTCATAAAAATTACAATTAAGCATGCATTGAGGCATGTAAATAGTTGATCTTAGCATAAAAAGGTGTTTTGAATACAATGGTTAAGTTAGATTTACTAAAAAGTGCTTTCTTGACTACTTACAAGATCCATCAGCCTTGGTAACGAAATTGGCTCTTGGATGAATAAAGGCCATAGATCTATATTAGAGATCTTAGAGATCAAGGGTAGAAATGTAGCCACCCTCTCACAAGCCACTACTCCATTATATAAGAGTGGCTTGGTTCCCCAAGCCCTTTCTCTCCTCTTTTGGTGAAGGATGAAGTTATGCTAAATTTTGGTCCTAAATCCTAATCTTAATTTTGTTTTTGATTTTTAATCTCATTTTGAACTTTGTGGTTGTATATGCATCGATCTTGAGTAGTGAATGATGGTCATTGGGTTTAAAGACATAGGTCATTGTGGTAGATAGCTCCCTTGGCCTATCAAATATCTCAAAGATTCAAGAATCTTGGATTTTCCTCAATCAATCATTCAATTTTTTGAATTTTAATAAGAAATATTTTTTTGGTTGTAGCTTTTGGTGTTAGCTTTCCAACAAGGTAAAGATCACTTGATTTGGAGTTATAGACAAAATTTTGGTAGAATTTTGAGTGCGTGGAGGTCAGCTGCCTTGGCAGTTTAGATCACCTACCATTGAAAAGATATTTCTCAATTCCTTCTAATTGGATTATTGTAAAATTCTAGAAGTAAGTGCATCTTTAAGCTGAACTTCTAATGGCATAAATTTCACTAAGTTTTAAGACAAATTGAATTTTTGATTAATTTTCAAGTAGAGGGAGGTTGCCTGCCATGGTAGTCTTTGACATTCAACTTTGAAAGAGCATTTCTTGCAGCTTAGGTACTGGATTGAATTTAAATTCATTGGAGCGAAATCGCCTTTAATTGAACTTTGCAACAAACTAAAAATCATTCAATTTGGAATTAATCAAAAAATTTGGAAAATTTTGGAGTAGAAAGGATTTACTACCCTCAATTCTTGGGCATTATTAAGGTACCTTTGCTTTTATCTCTCATTAGTCCCACTTTTAATTTTACTTTTACAGTAATTCATGACTTTCATATTTCAAATTTTATGTTTTAATTTTTAACTTTTAACCTTTAATCTTCTCTCTTTTATTTTTAACTCTTATATTTAACTTTTACTTTTTATTTTTAATTTTGACTCAACCTTTAAGATTTTTTTTACTTTTACTATGGATTAGTGGTAATAATCTGATCAATTACTTTTACCATAATTCATTTAAAGAATAATAATTTATAAGTTTTAACTAATTAATTATTTATTTATTCTAATTAATTATAATTTTGTAATCACATAAAAATTAATAATTAAGGACTATATAAATGACCTTAAACAAACTATTGAGATTTAAGTAAAAATCATGCAAATAGATTTGAAGACTATAGTAATTTCATTAAATATTTTTTTATTAATATTGATAATCATTGCTTGGAAGGCTTAAAGTTAATTGAATTGTTAATACTAAGATTTAAATCAACTTAGCAATTACACAATTGGGAGTTCTTTTATTCCACCTCTTAAACTTGTTGTGTGGCATGAGTTTTATTAAATAGTGAAATTTGGACTCACACCATACCTTCTATAATTTGAGATATTCTAAACATGAGATCTATGAGTTTAAAAACAGTCATTTAAATTGCCTTCAAAGAAGATGTTACTAATAAAAAAAAAAATGATTGTAATTTTAGAAGAGCAAAGAATTAATATCCGCATTTATATCCTTTCAACATCAACCTACAAAATTCTAACAACATCTAGCTTTAAGCTACTCTTAACCTTCTATTTTTACATTGCCAAATAGTAATCTAATACTTTTAGCTATACAAGCTCGACATGATTAAGCTCAAATCAAGACCTTGAATAATATTAGATTGAAGGAATTAAAAAATGAAAGCAATCTAATGATGTGTTTAAAAATAAAATGAGAAACCAATTCCAATTTTATAAGCTTCTTCATCAATTAAGAGAAGTAGGTCTTAATTTTTCTTTAAATCAAAAGAAGAATATATTATCTTCTCCTACTTGTAGGAAACTATATTAAATAGGTCATTTTTGAATTAAAAATAAAATTATTAATTCTAATTATGAAAGATTTTATTCTATGGATTATTCTTAGAAACTTAAGTAGATTATTCTTTCAACTTCTACTTCAAATGACTTTAGTAACCAAATTAGAGGTATTATTAAGATTTGAACATCTTTGCAATACCAAAAGTATTGCTTTAGATGTTAAGAAACTTTGTTGATGGAGCATGTTTTGATGTTACTATTATAATATTACAAACATTGCTATCATTGAGCAATCTTTTAAAACATGCATTTGCAACTGCTATAGCAAGGCTATTTTTGAAGATGCAAATACTAGAACCACTTAAGTTTTCATATTCCTATGTTTGATCTTACAAAAATACTATAAATTTTGCGCACTAGTAGAATATAGAAGACCTCATTTAGAAGTAATTTTTAAAGAAATATATTAATTTATACATCCATATTATATAAATTAATAAATTATTATTCTTTTTGAAAAGTAATATGAATAATAGTTGATTTATTACAAATTTAGGATTTAAGTAAAGTATCATTACTCATTTTTGTATTTAATATATGTACAAACTTTGATTATTGATGGAATTCATTTGAAAATAACAAAGCCATGTATAGCAATTGTATTTTGCATTGTATCCAATACAATGAATGTGAAAAAAATCAATTTTGTTTAAAAAAATATATGAAAAAATATTCAATATAAATAAAATTAATGATAAAATTATTTAAAATTCTATGTATATGATTTAAAATTCTCAAAATATTTTTATACATTATTATATTATACCATAGTAGACCAATGTGATATCTAAAATTATGAAAACTGTTAATTCTCTCATCAAAATTTATAAGTTTTTATTACCAATCATATAATTACAAAAAAAAAAGAGCTTTTTGCATGACCTTCTTGTTAGTTAGTATATTTAGAGACAAAGTTAAATCTTTTTTAGTTTTATCTTTTTTTAATTTTATTTTAAATTTTTAATATTCAAATCTAAATTCAATGAAATTTAGTTTCTTTGACTTTGCATTAGCCCTTCTACTACTTTATTACCTTATAATCATGTTTTTTCTTGGTTTTTACAATTTTTTATAAATTATCAATAAATATGTTGTATTATTGTAAGTTTTTCTAGATTAATGTTTTTGACATAAAAATTAAAGGTGACTTTAAAAAGTTTTTCAATGTTCATTGACACGTGACGTGGTATTTGATAAAAGAAATATAAATAAAATAACTCTATTTTTTAGGATTCTAGATCAAAATAATTTGTCCAATTTGAAACATAATACACAGGAATAGAGTCTCTTCCTCCTTTACCTTTTAACTACAGCTTCATATATACCAACCTTTAGGAGTCGCACTCACGTGTAAGACTTCATGTATCATTTCACAGTTATCCGCATGTACAATACAAAATAAATTAATAAGTTATTAAATAAAAGGCTGCTTAGTTAGTTTGTGAAGGTGTTGATTTGGTTGCACTAATTAACCAAGGAACAACTGAGGACAATGAATGATCCGGACACTCAGCGCCGAAAATCACACACCAACAGGAGGGAGGGATGCAAGAGGAGGAGGACGTGGTGTGTTTTAGGAAAAGAGCGTTGGCCGTGTGCGCAGCTAGTTGTCAATGCCTGGTTTGGTTTGGTTTGCTTCCACCTCAGTTCAGAACCGAAGGGGGCCACGAGGGATTGAGGGAGGGAGTTCTCTCAGGGTTGGGTTGAGTTGGGTTGGATTGGACTGGACTGATCAGGGAATGCGTCTGGTTCTGTGCTCCACCAGGTGTGCATTCATCTTCCTTGACCAGTCGTGGCCCCTTCACTAGATGGGACTCGGTCATGCGTCTCCCTGGGGCCCACTTGACTTGGTACACACCCAACTTCCCTCCCACTCGCCCGCTCACAGCTCTCGGATTTCCATCTGCACCTGCTGGTCACACTAATGTCCTGTCCGGAATTGACCAGCAATGGCCTTCACAATCTCCCTCCACCTGCCTCATCACCTGACTTGACTACTCACTGGATGACCCTGCCGCAACCGCCGACGTCGCGTTGCGTTGCACCTCGCCCGCACGACGCACCGCCGACTCACGCATTTGACGCTGGTGATCAGCGTGGTGAGCTCTTCGAAAGCTGCTGCTGCAGCAGCGCTCGCCGCGAGCTCATCGCTTCGACATGGGGCCAACTTGGCGGAGACATGCAGACCTAACGGGCGATGCTCGATGCTGGTTGTGGCTCAAAGCTTCCGCGATCGGGCTGCGGTGAACCGTGGCGTAGCCGCCGTCCTCGCACCAACAGCATCATGTCGGGAACTCGGTGACGGGCGACAACGGTCACAACTCTCTCGCGGAAGAGGAGTGCCCAGTTCACTACTCGCCCAGTACCCGGGGGCTCACCCAAGGCTCAAGAAACCGGCGCCGGATGCTGGTAACCTGCCGGTCCTACGCGAAAGCGCATCATGACGCAGAGTAACTCGTGATCACACTCAACAGCTTCGGTTGATACCGCAAGGACACTGCAGCTGGAACCGAAAGTCGATGGGTGTACGTCGTCACCTGGCATCCGGCAACGCCGCTGTGAGTGGACGATGAAGCGGGCGCTACTGTGGTTACCGTAGTGCGTCAGAGGCAACCGGGGTACGCATGGATTGTGCGAGGCGGAGGATTTGGTGAGCCGGACTGCGGTGCTTGGCCACGACAATCGGGTGAACGGTGTAGCGGGCCTTCAAGTGTTCAGCGTGCTGGATTGGACATGACTTTTCCAGCAGGGGTCGGCGCCCTCTCCGACTCTGGCATGCGCAGCCTGTGCCCTTCACCCTTCAGCAATTTCGTCCGGCAATCTGGATGTAGCAGTGAGACTCTGTCGTGCGGTTTCTCAAGTGTCCTCACTTGCTTTCCTCATGTCGCTTACTCTCGGCGAATTCATTGGTACCTTAAGTTGGCTGTACTGGTGACGCGCGTCGGGTTGACACACTCTTTGTCTCTATTTTCACTACATGCACTTACCAATTTGAATCATTTTGGGGGATATGATCGGCTCACCAAGCAGGCGACTATTATTTCGTGGTTGGGTTGTAGTTACTAAATTGTTAGGTGCTGGCACACGTGTTGCTGGTCGCGTAGTTGAGTTCTGCCCTTCTTACTGGTATGGGTTGGATATAACGTTGTAGCAAGGCCTCGAGTGATCATATTCAACCTGCGTTTGTCGAGTGGATGGACTTTGTAAGCACAATGGACGGCACTTTGATGTTACCTGGCAGTGTGAACGCCACAACCTTCGATTTCAGCATTGCTCGGTTCGTGCGTTGTATTGATATGGCCACCGTGGGATGGAATTTGGCAACGGGTGTATATCATTGTCTTCTGGTTTACGCACTGAATAAATATGGATTGGACATCTGGTTTCGAATTTGCACTCGGTCGGAGAGCATGCCATGGTGGATGAACCTATCAGCGGATCACGGAGGGACAGCGGGCAGTGCGGATGGTGAGAGAAAGCTGCTGCAGGATAAGCTAGAAATTTTGGCCGAGAAAGACTGGGGCAGTGACGTAGCATCGGCTTATACTCAAAATGTAGGGGTTGGCAATACAGTTGTAGCTCCGGCTCCGGCCATAGCTACGGGCCGAGAAGTTCGAGATTTTGGATTTAAGGGAAAAGAACGTGAAGTTGAGGTTGACAGTAGTAGCCCTAAACCCAAGGCTATCTGTCACTCCATATCATGCAGCCTGGTCCTAACATTTCAATGTGTGCTGTCGGATCATCAAATCCAATGCTGGGTCGAGACCATGCGTAAGTACTTTGGTTCGACTCCGAGAGTAGAGAGATTCGAGCAGTCTACTGTCTTTCAGACTCTTTCTTGGACGCACGAAGAATTGTTGCATGATGCTGCATCTTTGGTGCAGCAGGCTTATGTGGATGATCTTCAATGTACGTTGCAAGTGGGTACTTGGTGCGTTTTGCTTTGTCAGACAGGTATTGCTTGAACCTGGAAGGTTTCTATTGGTGTCGGTAATTTGTGGTGTCGCAAGGGTCAAGGGTTTTAGTTTTTAACAACTTTGTACAGAGATGATTAGAGCCTATGCTCCTTATCCCATTAGTATTTACGTATCTGATTGAATCTTCTCGTCAATTGGATGTATCTATCACCTTCCGTTGCAAATTATAATACAGGAGCGCGCATGCCTTTGGACAGGAGAGAAAGCGAAGCTGGTGAAGCTACAGGGACTTCAAGTACCAGTTATTACAAGCGCTTGCCACTTCTCAGCCGGTAATGTCACAATCGTATTTGAGTTTTGGTCTAAGGCTTTATAAAGTGTTTTCATGAACTTCATCTCAAGCTCGAATCAGTATTTGTCTTCTGGGTGAATTTTGCGTTAATTTTGAGTTCTACGGAGTGCGTTCTGATCGATTAGGCCAAGTTCTTTGAAGTCTTTAAATCATTCGGTCCCTGACATAGGCTGTGAATGAATAATCGCAGTTGATTTGCTCGTAATCAAGGGATACAACCTAGATGGAGCTGATCTCATCGGGCAAATTGAGGATCAGAGCTTGAGGTTGTTGTCAAAATCAAAAGCATCAAGGGTAGGGCTCGTGTTTCACTCCATCCTTGGCTCTCGCTAATTTTTGTTCGTCTCAGTCTCGCATACATTGATAGCTCAATTTCATCAAGCTCCTCTTTGAAAGATGTAATTGAGAATCGCATCTGGGGTTTAGAGTTTTAGTAGTTGATTGTAGCCATGTGCAGGACATGGAAGAATTGGAAACCCTGTCTGTACAATGTAAGGAGGATACTGTTCACCAAGACTTGCACGTTTACGCCTCCAAGTTAATTGTTGTCGATGGTTCTTTAGTATCTGTTCAATGCGAACCTGCAATAATCGTTCCCGGGGATGACGACAGTCTCTCAACTGGTACATCGTCGCAATGCCAATGTAAATCATAAATCATGCTGTTGTGCCTTAAGAAGCTCAATTTGACGAGTTGATTATTCCTCGTTTAGTATGTGGATGTTGAACACATACTCGACGAGTTGATTGCAACTCAGTGATTGTTTTGATCGTGTACAGAGTTCACAGCTTGGATCATGGTGGCGCTTATTATGGCAGTGCCTGTGACTCAAATTGCATTATCATTGCTGTATTCTTCTTTTGGGTCTGCTCTGGCGATCGTGGTAGGACAAGCCCTTGGTTGGATGCTGGCTTGGTCGACGCTGCAATTGCTTGCAGCCAGGAAAATAAGTATGCAAGGCAAGGTACTCCAACCATTGGAGTTGAAGAATATCTTCGTGGACCCTATGAACGTTAGAAGAGGAGGCTTGGTGTTAGTATTCGCACTTATGAGTTTGTTTTCGCATTGGATATGGACACACATGGGTACATTTCAAAAGAAATGGCTGCTCATAGGGACAACGACAACCATGCTAGTTGTTGCAATCTTCAAGCTCCTATCCAAATTGAGGAAAAAGAAACATGACGGGATAATTAGCCATAACCGACACTGGATGAACTTGATGAACACAGCCATCACATATGGTGAGTGGTCTTACGCAGCTGGTATGCTCCATTCTGACAAAGGTCTCGATGAAGCACAGCACTATGACGAAGCATATGTCCAGGGAAAGCTGAGAGAGCTCCAGTTGCGGCGCTCGGAAGGAACGATTGAAGAAATTCTCTTCTCCTTGCGCGCTGACCTCTTTCGACACCTTGGGAATATGTGTAATCCCCACTTGCATAGGTACAGACGTGAGGTTCCGGCGGCCATTCGGGACTATATTAAAGAAGTCGGGTATGGTAATCCTTACTTTTCTCCTCTGCGACTTCTACCGGTCCGTGTCGATTGGAGCTTTTAGGTCATGATCCAGATGTAGCCAAGGTTTTGTTCTGAAGTTTTTTGGACATTGATTTCAGCAACCACCTTCAAGCAGTGTACGAAATGGACGTGGAAGAATTTAGTCTGGAAGAGAAGCTGACCTTCATGACTGAAACACGACAAAGACTTGGAAGGACAGCTCTCGTATTTAGCGGTCATGTTGCGCTCGGGACATTTCACTCGTCAGTATTTCGCACACTGGTGGAACATCAGCTGCTACCCAGCGTAGTTGTAGGCTCAAACTTGGGGGCGATTGTGGCTTCCATTGCGACCACAAGGACTTCATCAGAGCTTCAACACTTTTTTGATGATCCTTCGGTACCTATGGACTTTTATGAGAAACTAAGCACAGTTTATGTGGCAGCATACCGGCTGCGAACTCACGACGCCAAGCCATACGAAATTGAGAAGCTTCAGGACAGCATGCAGGAATTGTTAGGAGATCTTACCTTCGAGGAGGCATTCGATTTGTCGGGTCGCATACTAGGAATTTCGCTTCCTGCTTGTCCAATAAGCCACCTACCTGCACAATTTCTGAATTATTTAGCGTCGCCGCATGTTGTTATCTGGAGCGCAGTCGCGGTATCCTGTGTGCCACCTACTGGCCTTCTTCACCGTCCCGAGCTCATGATCAAGGATCGTTTCGATAGAATTGTACCATACATTCCACCAACAAAAGTACGAATCCATCCTCGAAGGCTTCCAAACACAACGATTCTTCTATTCTCTTATTGTACGTAATTCAAAGCATTGAGAATTGATTGCCTCGTATTTACGGTATCCTTTTACATGGAATAGCATGTTTTGTGCACGCAGGTGACCTCATTGGAAGCAAGGAACGAAACAAGTTTAGAAACCCAGATTGCCTTTCAACAAGTCCGAGAACTTTTCAACGTCAACCATTTCATCGTCAGTCAGGCGAGTCCTTATATCGCTCCATGGTTGCATTTCAAAGAGACAACAGAGGAGCGCTCACCTCTCATATCCAAGGTCAGAGCAAACCCCAAAACTCCTGCAAATGTGTGTTGAAGGTGAAGTTCAAAGTGATGGGTGGGAGCTACAATGGTATCAGGAATTGATTGTACATTGACTGGTTCTGAGAGCCTCAGGGCGCACTGATCTTGGCAGTTAGTGAACATGATGGAGATGGAGGTGAGGCACCGATGTGCTCAAGTGCTAGATATGGGGATCAGGCTGCGAGGCTTGACAAGCGTCTGCGCTCAGATGTGGGAAGGCGATATCAACATCGTCTTACCGATCACATTTTCACAGGTGAAGCTTCAACTTCACAAGGTCAATTGCAAGCTTCTCTATAACATTAGGACAGTTTGATAATTACAATCAATAGCTGACACGCCACGAAGCTGACTTTGAAGGTGAATGTGATAGCGCAGGTCATCTCCATGTCCAGCATCCAGAATGACGACCCTTCACCGGATGATCTTCGGAAGGCCGCGATGGCAGGGCGTCGATGCACATGGGCCAAGCTGTCTGCCATCCAGGCAAGCTGTAGCATAGAGTTCAAGCTGGACGAATACATCAACGAGCTACAGCGTCGGGAGCGCCACGCTTTACATCTGGAAGAGGATTACCGTCTCCTCAATGACCTAGCTTCTCCCAGGGGCACTCGGCAATCAGAGGTAGACATCGGCTCGTCAAGGCCGAATCTCTCCACGACCCAGTCATCACAGGGAGACGCCGACCCATGTGCCAACGGCGAGTTTCCTCTAGATCTTCATCAAATTCCAGGATACGGTACACCAAGCGAGGCAGGAACTGAGGATTACCTCCTTGATCACCTCTGCTCTTGTACAAGAAACAATCCTGAGTCTCTGACCCACAGATGTGATGCTGCCCCCGTCGTCACTGACGAACGAATCCACGTCATTGAAGGAGGCAGTGACACGGTTGAGAACCATGAACCCGCATCGCTAGTCGGCGTGACGACATGGCCAGCAGACGAAGCAACGCCTGGGGATTCGAGCTCCCAAGGTGGGGAGAGGCAGGATGGTTTCAGCAAAGGGGAGCCCGAAAGCATCTGCAAGCAACTGGAGCTGCAAAACCGATACCCCCAGCAGCTGGAATGGGACATCGGCCATGACGACGTCGGCCGACAACACAGCTATGGCTCGCCCACGACAGTGTTGGAAGGCCCTCGAAGTGGGCGGAGAATCCAAGTCAGGAGGTTCTCGGAGCAGCGCGTCCCCTTGCACCCGGGCTGCCAGCTCGAGCGCTATTTCAAGGAGATGGCGGCCAGTTTGAGTGACGACGATGAGCGCAGCGTCGCACTCTAGATCATGAAAAATATTCCTCTGAAACCCTAATTCCACCCCCCAAAAACCCACCAAAACCATGATTCATTTCCTGACACTGTAGGCATTTGTTTTAGGAGTCCTTGTGTGGAGTGTGTGAATTTATTTTAAAATATATTCGAGCTGTTTGCAGTCCTCTTATTGCTTGTGGTGAATTCAGTTTGCTGAGGTGACAATAAATTTTGATTGGATTACGGGGCAAAAAGGAATCTTGGCAGAATGAACTAAAAGTAGATGAGTAATACCATTTTTTTGATCTATCATCAATGGTATAAGGTGAAAATCAGTGATTTGTAGCAAACGTTTAGTCTAACAAAAATAAATATACATCTACCATGATAACTAAAGCTGTGTAGTTGAAACCTACAACATGATAATGGTTTAGAAAGACTAACCAAAATCTACAATCACTGTAATGAAGGAAATTGTTCATATTTTGAAAAGATGAAAAGACTCAATGTGAATTTAAATGGTAGTGACGTTTTTCTTATAAATAAATTACTAAATTAAAAATTACAAATTAATTGTAAATCAAGGTGTTAAGAATTTAACAAAACCTCTCAAAATTTATTAAGTCATTTCTAGGTCCAAGCTCCAAATTTTACCCAGTCAGTTTTATTTCAAATTTATTTTAAATTAATGTTTTATTATTATTATTATTATTATTATTATAAATTTTTAAATTATATGGTTTTTCAATTTTATTTGATAGATAAAGTATTTTTAAAAAAATTTAAGTTATATGCTAAGAAATTTTCTAATATTAAGAGATTTCATTGAAAACATAGATATTTTTTAAAAAATATTTTGTGAAACAATTAACATATACAAATTTGAATTATGCAACGACATATCTGATGATTTTATTTGTTAGTGGTTTTAAAAACCAAATAATACAAAGCCAAATCACATTTTATATCCAAAGTTTTATTTAAATTAATATATAATAATGGAGATAGATAAGTTATGGTATTTAATATCTATGTAATTGTCTGCTATTTTGTATAAAATATAATAAATTAGAGCAAAAAGAAACTCATGTTTTAACCTTCATTTAAATTACTTAAATATCAATATAAAGTTAATTTTTATTATAGTTAACCTCTTAGAACCAAAGAAATTGTTGACTATATAATATAGATGATTATATAGTGTTGATTGTATGTCAAACACAAGAATTAGAAGGATGATAAATGAAACAAGTTAGAAATTATATCAAAGATAACAAAGGAAAAGGAAAAAAGTATGTATATTCTACAAAAAACTAAAATAACTATTATCAAAGAAAAGAAGATAAGATATTCTTGAAATTACACTAGATACAAGAAAGACATTGACAAGAGTGAAAAAAACTCACTCTTGCCTCCATATAAACTATTTAGACTAAAGAGCTATGCAATAATGTTCTACAAGTCATTTAACATGTGTTCAACTTGCAAAACAAGCGTCTATCTTACAAGTTAAGTTTTAAATATATGTCCCTTTTAGCCAACTTATACCACAAGTAGTCAACATGTGTAACATGTGGCCAACTTGTTGTCTAAGTTTTCAATCTAGCAATGACCTACAAACACTTGTAAAATTAAATTCGTATTTATGAAGCTTTTAAGAAACTCTCCACCTAGATGTTACCAAATTAAGTTACATCTATACAAATCTAAATAATACTTTTGATCCTCTTGATTATTAATGTCAAAATTGATGTTTGTAATGCAATATAGTACAGTATAATATATATATATATATATAATATAGATTAGAATCAAATAAATGCATTGACTATAATCCAAATTTTACCTTCATAAGTTTCACTATAAGTAAGTTTGTCTATGTGTATATGTATAAACTATTGTTAATACCACCACAATTTTTGCTACTACCACCCACTATCCACTATCCACTCAACAAGTTCTTTGTATTTTTTTATTTTAAAAAATAATTATATGTATATATATTAAATCATAAAAAAATAGTTATAGTGGAAATATCAAGAAGAAATTTTTAATTGAAATTTGATTAAATTTATTATTAGGTTGTAGTAGCAATAGCAAAAGTTGTGGTGGCATTAACAAAGATTGAGGTAGCATTAGCAACAATATTGTTTTATTATATAAGAATTAGTCTAAGAATGAATTACATATCTAGCTATAGAAAGATTTGATTTTACCTCAAAGTTGAATTTACAATCTAAAAAATATAATGCATTAGATATTTAAAAAAACCTTAGTAATTTCAAACAACTTAAACAAACTTATCACACTATATTCAACTTCAAATTAATATTACACTATTCATAAAAAAAAAAAAAAAAAAAAAAAAAAAAAACCAATTAAACCTTGAAAAAATGTAAAGATTTTTTTACAAAAAAATAATAAAAAAATAAATTTATTATAAAAAATATTAAATAAATTTTAAAGAAATCCTACAATAATCATAAGAAATATTAAAGAAATGACAAATCTTTCAAAAATTTCTCTTAATCTGCTTGGATGTCAACCATCTTTATTCTCCAAATGTAAAGCAAAATTCTTAATTTTAATATCTCTTTATTGCATTGATAATTTTTTCTTAAAATTTACAAGAATATGAAAAAAATCAATCAACTATCAATATACAAAGAATTTTTTCTAATACAATCTACAAATCACTCAAAATCTAAGAAACCCTTATTTACCTTCAAAATCCAATTTTTTAAGAACCTAGCAAACTTGATCTTCAATCACTTGCTTTGTTTATATAATTGAATTCAAATTTACAACTCAAATTGAACAAAATCACTATATAAAATTGCACTAAATTTCATCTATATATTTACTTCAAAACTTTTTCAAATCATCAAAATAAATTTTAATTTTATTCTAATAAAAAAAAATTAAATCAAGCTTAACTTTGTAAAGCTCTCACAAAGTCAATATGCATTTAAATTCATCAAAGTCAATGCTTATAAAAACTCTATCAAGTCTCCTCTCAATATCTAAACTCCAATCATTAGAAAAGCTTCCTATTTGCAGTAGACATTCAATTTTGTACATCAAGGTCTACTTTCAGCCTTGGTTTATAATCAACCTTCTATACGTATAAATCAAAGATTTATCTGAGTGATTTTTGTAAATCTTTACTTTTTATTTCTACCTATAGGTGTGTCAAGGACAAGAACAAGATAAAGACAAATAACAAGTGAGACTTCTCTCAAAGAAAGATGAAAAAAAAAGAAATAATTTGATATATATATATATATTAAGAAAGAAATTGGAATGGCTATTGCCAAGAGCTAAGAAAACTAGAGATCCTTGAAACTAGACTGGAAGCAAGAAAGGAGTTGACAAGAGTGAGGAAGGCTTCATTCTTGTCTCTATATATACTATTTAACTAGGGGCTACGTGTTGACGTTCTATATGACCTCCAATATGTATTGACTTTGTAGGACACATGCCTTGACTTATAAGGGAAGTTTTTCTACGAATGGGCCATATAGTTAGCTTGGTCTTCAAGCTAACAACATGTGTGGCACATGGCCAACTTGTTGACCACGTTTCTAATTCCAAAAAGTCAATTAAAGACACCTATAAAGTCAAAGCAGAGTCTATGAAGCTTCTAGGAAGCTTCTATATCAAATACTATAGAATTAACTTATTTTTATCTACTTTTATTTACTTCTACCTATTTATACATGTAATTATTGGCTTACATGTGTATGTCCATGAAATTACCCCTCCTTCTAGAGACGAGTTTCACAAGGAGCGATAATCATATGTTAAAGAAATCTATGATGTGATAAATTATATTTGTCACATACTCTGATCTTTATTCTCTTCGAAGATGATTGATAGGGCCTCTCAACTATCGATAGTATCTATATCAGGGCGAGAAAACCACCTAGTTATTTGATCATTGTTGAGGCCTTCATAACTTCCTTCGAATAAAATATTTGGAACACCATCATGAGTTGTTCCTACCTCTAGTAAAATCACAAAACATCGGGAGTCCCTTCCTAGGTCGTGATACCAAACACGTTGTATTTCGCCATATATTCGAGGAAGAATATGTTGTTCTTGAAGATCTTCATCTCGATTGTATCGTCTTGAAGGTTGTAACAATCGTAAAGTCTCGTCCAACAAGTCAGCAAACAAAGGCTCTTGAGTCGAATCTGCTGGTTATTGGTTCTCTATCTCTTAAGTGTCACAACTACAAAGAAGCTACAAACAAGGATTGAAAGTAGAATGTTATCTTGCTTAGATCTTGTTTCTTTTATAAAGAAGATTTTCATCTTGTTTTTGATGGATGTCGTCGATGAAATGCCTCTACTGCCTTTGCTGCATTTGTAAGATTCTTTATTGGCTCCCATGTGCGTTCACTTATATCATATCCGTGCCAATGGATAAGATATTCTAATTTATTTCGGTGTCGCCTTGAATCTAAGACTTCTTTTACTTCAAACTCTTGATTATTGTCCACCTCTATAGGAGGAGGTAGAGCTTGTCTTCTTTTTGGTATGTCCACTGTCTTGTATGGTTCAAGAAGAGACACGTTGAATATTGGATGGATTTTCATTCACTCCGGTAGATGTAAACGATATGCAACTGGATTGATTTGTGCAAAAATAGAAAATGGTCCAAACCTTCAATAGTCCAACTTGTCACAACAACGAATGGTCTTGATATTGTGATGAAGTAACCATACCTTATTATCCATGTAGAATGGTAGTTGTTCCTTTCAATAGACATCCGCATTGACCTTTTGTTGCTCTTGAGCTTCTTTTAACTATGCCTTCATTGTTGCATGTAGCTCTGACAAATCAATTGCCAAATCTTTTGCAGCAGGATTATCAACTTTTGAAAAGTTAAAAGTATCAAGTCGTGGATGATAACCATAATTGGCAAAGAAAGGTGTTTGTTTTATGGAAGAATGTATCGTGTTATTGTAAGCAAATTCTACCAATGATAAAAGAGTTGTCCAATCATCTTGTTGGTAGTTAATGGTACATCTTAAATATTGCTCCAAAACTTGATTAACACGTTCTGTTTGTCCATCAGTTTGAGGATGGAATATCGAAGTTAGTTTTATATCCACTTTTAGAATCTTGAAAAGAGTCCACTAAAATCTTGATACAAATTGAGTTCCTCTATCTGATATAATATCCT